TGCACCTCTTGCAAACGTGTAAAACACAACCGTGTTTGTCTTGCACCTTGTAACTTATCTGTTGAGGATGTACTACGAAACCTGTTACACTCACTAGGTCTATATGCATTACTAGACATCATGGAGCCTTCTCGATATCCACCTCTCTGAGGCTTATTCGTCATCAATGATTGCATTTTACCCTCAGACTGCTCTATTCTAAGGGTGAGATCTAACAGACTGGCGAACTTGCTCATAGATTGATTGACACTAGTATTTACCAGTTTCAGGATATCATCAAATTTTGGCTCGATACCCTCATCCTCCATACGGGAGCTCATCTTCACCCACTTCCTTTGCAGTCGAGTAGGTAGGCGTCTTGCTATTACTTCTAGTATAAAACTCGAGTTGAGGTCACTCATTCGATTCATCGAAATCATTGCATTCTTGTAAATTAGCAAATTATCTAAAAACTCATTGAGCGCCTGGGAGTCATCCTATAAGTGACCACCATTACCCTCAACAGCCTCGAATAATTTCCCTGCAATCATCGAAGGTCTTCCAAACCTTTGGCGTAATATGCTCATAGCCTCATCGTAGCCCTCCTTTGGCTTCATAAACTTACAGCACTGTATAGCTCTTGCAGCATCTCCAGTGCAATATCTCATCAAATACATTAACTTCATTTCATCAGTTAATGAAAAACCACTCAACATGATCTCAAACTCCTTTACAAATTGTAAATAATTAGCTGGGTTTCCATCAAAACACCGTGGTTCAAATTTAGGGAGTTTGATGTTCCTATTATCTCTGAACGGCGAAACAGTAACATCAACCATGTCATGTTGAACATCAGACACATCGTTACAATTAACAGACAAGTCACAATGACTTACTTTCCTGTTTACATCCAAGACGCTCTGTCCCTTCTTTGACCCAGGCATTGTTGAACTTGACCCAATTCCAAAAACTTTCCAGATATTGCTTGTTCAAAGAGGACTTGACCGGCACCAGGAAAGATGAACGGTGACTATCCAAACTTTCACCAACTGTCTGAATCCGCCAGAACTTGTTTCTGCCGTCAGAAACTGTCAATCACGTCTCGTAAACCGTTAATGCCCAGCTCTTGCTACGCTCGGGCCCACGCTGTTCCTTGCAGTTTCTCAGAAACGCTTAGTAATAACGGACGAAAAACCAAAAGACCGATTGGCTACTCGAGGATTCTTTATTGTTACACCAACATATAAAAATAATGTTTTTACTAGGGTCTGTGAACAAATATTACAATAATAAATCACAAGATTACTTATGATGGTTGTCTCCTGACTTCTTTCTGAACAGCGACCGATGAGACGATGACTGTCGTATTGATGCCTCCGCGAAAATTGGGGAAGTTGATTTTGAGCAAACAACCAAGAATTGATCGTTCAATCTTCAACTTTATTGACACTAGGTGTTGCCATTCGCCATGTACCTGCTGTTGTAACACTGCCCCAATGGCGACATCTGAAGCATCTGTCATGAGAGACAGGGGGCGTCATTCTGGCGTCTGACTAAGAGCGTCTTGTCATTTAACGATTGTTTAACAGCTTCGAATGCTTTAACAGCTTCTGCTGGCAAATGGAATGAACGACTATGTCCACGTAAGCAGTCGGTCAACGGTTGCAAAACTCTAGCACAGTTCGGGATAAAACGCCGGTAAAAATTGACTAGACCCAAAAATCGCCGGAATTTCTTGAAAGAATCTGGTAATGGATAGTCTTTGATGGCTTGTACATCGTCGGGGTCTGGTCTAATTCCTTGACTGTCAGTCAAGTGACCGAGGAATTTCAGTGATTTCTTACCAAATTCTCATTTATCTAAATTGATAGTCATACCGTATTTGTGAAGTCTTTCAAACACCGTCCTCACATGTTTCACATGCTCGACTTCGTCTGCACTTGCAATCAGTAAGTCGTCAATGTATGCGTAGACGAAGGGCAGGCCGCGGAGTACTTGGTCGATGAGACGTTGAAATGTCTGAGCGGCGTTCATCAGCCCGAAAGGCATGCGTACGAATTCGTATAAGCCGAATGGCGTGGTGATAGCAGTTTTTGGAACGTCATCCGGGTGGATGGGAATATGATGGTACGCTCTGACAAGGTCGATTTTGGAGAAAATTTTAACCTCTGGCAAGTTGCTGGCGAAATCGTGAATATGCGGTATGGGGTATCGGTCAGGTACCGTTTGCTTGTTTAAAGCTCGATAATCCCCGCATGGCCGTATCTCACCAGAAGACTTTTTGGGTACCATGTGCAGCGGTGAAGACCAAGAGCTGTTGGATGGTCGAATAATGCCGAGCTCTAACATTTTATCGAACTCTGTTTTTGCGATTTTAAGTCGATGTGGGTCAAGGCGTCGAGGACGTGCAAAAACTGGTGGTCCAGTGGTTTTAATGTGATGAACCACTTGATGCTTTAGTTCTGTTGCTCGGAAAGATGGTTGTAGAAGGTCAGGGAACTGATTTGCTAGGTCAGTATATGGAGATGCTGGTGTGCGTGTGACCATCAAGTTCAGCGATGATGCACGGCTAATCGTACCAGCGATGTACCTTTTATTGAGCGAGTCCATAAGTTTAGGGCTAACCGGATCAACTAGCAGTTTGTGTTGCTGTAGAAAATCTATACCAAGGATTGGGGATGGAACGTCTGCGATGATGAAAGACCAATTGTAGGTATTCTGCAGACCAAAATCTAAAGTCATTCGTTTACTACCATATGTAACAATATTAGACTTATTAACGGCTTGGAGCGTAACTGCAGGGTCAGGATGTTGACGTTCCTGCGTAGGCGGAGGGAGAACACTAACCTCTGCTCCTGTGTCGACTAAGAATGTAGTACCGGTATTTCTATCTGTTACATAAAACAAACGACTGCTAGATCGTAGATTGCCGACAGTAGAAGTTTTCATACATGACGATATATCTTTTGGTTTAGCCTGAAAGTTGCAAGGTGAACGACACCGTCGTGCATTGCTTCCGTAACTACGGTGATACCAGCAAATAGTATCGTGATGTCGTGACGTGCTGGGTGATCGAGAAAGACGTCGACGAGACGAGCTTGTAGAATGGCCTGGTTGTGTGTGTGTGGTCAGTGCTGCTAACTGACTCAGTAAGGTGTCGACTTTGTGTTCTAGAGTCTGTATCCTGTCGTGAGTGTCTGGTATTCTGCTAGTGGAAGCAATAGATTGAGGTGTTGACCTCTCGTACATGCGATCCGCAATTTTGGCGAGCTTTTCCATGTCAATGTCGTCGTCTCCGAAAGCAAGAGCTTGCTGAATGTTTGCAGGCAGTCGTCGCAGCCAGATTTGGTAAAAGAGACGTTTGTCGATATCTCTTCCTGCTGCTAGGCTTTCCATGTGCCTCATGAGTTGTGATGGGGTTTTATCACCTAGCTCTACATTGCTTAACAAACGATCGAGTGTTTGTCTGTCAGAAAGCGAAGTGCATCGAAGTACCTCTTCCTTCAACTTGTCGTAAGGAGCGTCTGTGCTGGGCTGAACGATGCATTGTCGAACCTGTTCGGCGATTTCGTCTGGTAGTACTGTACTCAATATGCCGAATTTAGCCGTCTGTGACGTGAGCTTATTGGCAGTGAAATAATTTTCCAGTCGTGCAAACCAAAGATGAGGGTCTCTGGGCCTAAAAACTGGTACAGTAAGAGAAATGGTACTAACAGATCCCAGCTCTAAGTTATTAGAGGTATTGGAAGACATGATACAATTCGTAGAAAAATGGTTTAACAGTAACAAAATAGCAAAAATTATGCACACCAAGAATATGGTAAAACAGAAAACATGCAATGCAGATGCTTACCACAGATTACTGCAAGTTGTGCGATGAGAAAGCACAAGAATGAGCTCGAAATGTCTATTATATGTATATATATCCGATAAAGTTAGAGTTTAAATAATCCAGCAAGTGTAATGATGCGTCCGGGTGAACAAAATGTCGTTGGAGTCAACAATTTGTCACCGGGGTGAGCCAGTTATCGTCAAGGGCACCAATTTGTCGTCGCTGTCAAAAGATCACGTCGGGCTCACCAATTTTGTTGCGTGAGTTGTCTGACTAAACTGCCGTACACATATATTCTAGTATTTCCTCGTTCTTATTAATGTGCGCAGACGTTGTGGCTACTCGACGCCCACAACGTAAATGAAAAGGCACTTGCGAAGATTACGAATGTGTATTGTAGCAGTAGTCAAATTCGAAATTGTGTCAAGGTAATATTCAACAGTAAAATGACAAATGTTTGCGAAGTACATATAAAATCGGTCTGTATACATATATAATACAAGTATACAAATTAGATTAAAAAGCATGTTTACAGTTGGTATAGGGGTACTACAAGTGAACTCATATATTCTAGATACGATTGCAGGGAAGGCCACATGTACAACCCCTGGCATGACTAGATTATCCTGCAAGGAAAAGATTAGTAGTTTATGCATTCTCCTTATCGTGTCATTTGTAGAGATGAGTTCTAATAACGTTGTTCAGGACTGAGGGAAACAAGCATGAGTCTGTTATATCCCCTCGTTTCCTCCCAATTTGATCGGCATACTTAAGGGGAAAAAGTGAAATCTTCTCCCTCAATAGGGTCGTGCAATAAAGTACTAGATTTGCTCAGAGCAGGATTAACATAGCCATGAAGTCTTTTATCTACCAACAGATATATGAATCTGGAAATCCCTGGCACTCCACTCACAGCAAATGAAATATAGCAACTTATAAATTCTGTTGTTGTATAACAACATGAGTTCATAGAACCAATGAAGTTTTCAAGGTTAAGATACAAATAGATTTGTGATCAACTAAATACATTAAAATGCTAGTAAGTCGATAGACCTAGAGTTGAAGTTAATACTGTTAATAAACTCAAATAGTTGTAAACTAGTATTTAAAACATATTGAAAGTCATGGTTTATACATCATGTTTAATACGGAATGGGCTGTTTCAGTTGTTATATTGTTCCTTATTGATGCATTGCGAAGGTGAGCAGAGCTTCAAAGCGGGCTCTTAAAATATGTTGGGTAAATGAAGATTCCTATCTTTTCTAACAGTTGGACTTATCGTTGACTGTTTTGGTGTGACATGAGCAAAGCCATTTATGTCTTCTAACTTTTGCCCATGGATTTTCTGACTTCACAAAAGCATGTAGCGGCGAATTATAGTTCAAAACATGTTAGAAATGCTTCAACTCCTGGTTATGTCCCTCCATTAATTCGTGGCCTCAGTTTGGAAGATCCATTAAAATGTGCATCACTCTCTGTTTCCAAGCACAAGAGGAATCAGTCATGTGTGCGTGTTAATCTTGGATTTAATGATACGGTAAGCTTATAAACTTTGCGAAATATAATTTTGGTTAGTTGAAGCTACTTGGTATTTCAAAACATTTATATTAACAGTATATACAACCAAAGTCTAAATAATATTAGTTGTGTTATGTGAGGCTGTATGACGTTTTTTTGCACTAAGCCTGTCTATATCATTTGTGTGATTAATATGAAAGTTATGTGACATGACTGTACAATGGTCACTGCATACGTCAGTAAGAGATTATCAGTAGCAGAGAGCCCACGCCCTTCACTTGCAGACAGACTTTATTCCTCTTTATTGCAGTATTCCCCATTGGCATGTTTTGTCCTAAATATTTATTTGGTATATATATAATACCTTATGTTGATTATTGGCTCCGCTTAAGCATATCCCCATATTTTTCACCTGATTCCTTGCAGCATTGACGGTTGTCTTCGTATTCGTGTAAAATTGTGCTCACTGGTTTAAGCGTATATTGGGCTTTTCACAACTATCTTAAATATTTTCGCGAAATTCACAAAGTTTCGCTGGATTTTTACTCGTTAGAAATGTTTTGTCACTACAGTCAAACTCTCAGTCTGTTCACACAAATGCTTTTTCATCTATAATAAGTCAGTTTTATGGTTATAAGCTGGTATGTCCCCCTATATGATTTCTCAATTGCCTTGTTTTCATGTTCCCTTCCTAATTCTTCTGAAATTGTCTTTACGGGCTTTAGCTATTGAAATGTTTCTATTCTTCATGAATTCCTTACATGCCTCTATTTCTTGTTATAGGATGTCTTTTGTGTCGTTAGGTGCATAGCTTACGCTATATCACTTGGTAGCGCCTCCAAAGCTGGTTTGATATTCGGCGTTAGTTCTTGAATCAATAAGCTTTTCTTGCTGATATGGGTACTAAAACTACTGTTACAATAAGATTTCATTTTCCATTGAAATTTTGTCTTCTGTGTAACATTTTAACATTTACTACATTGGTTACACAAGAATAAGAGTACCAGCAAGAGTATAGGGTTTGAAATGGGTCTTTACAACAATAATGAGCAGTTGTCGTTGACAGAAAGCTATAGACTCAATGTTATTCTTTGTGCTAAGTGAAAGGAATATCAAGACACTAAAGTAACATATAGAACTCCTCAAAACTAAGGTGCGGGCTAAATGAAACATTAGAGTTGACACCTTCTTTTCAGTAGATGTAGCAAGTTACTTTAAAGAAGTAGTGGTTCAGAATACGTTAGTGAACTGACTGAGGAATCCAGTGAGATGTCACTGTCTGATGTAGTTTATTCCAGTTTAGCAGAAAGTTTTAAATTCATAATCCGTCATCCAGTGCATAAAATAGACACGTGAAACTGTTAGGTTAGAAAGTATGTAGCTCCGAGAATCCTTTTAACTGAACAGAGAGCCTTAGAGGTTTAGGTGCATCTATTAGATTATTTGTCGTTTGATTTGGTAGCAATTATACGTATCAGCGTATCGATGGCACAGCTGTTAGGACTCTCGCCGATCATGCACATAGTTCGGAGTTCTATCCTCTGCCGACGCACACCTGATATCTATGGTCGGCCCGCAAAATTCGGGCTACCGATATCACATGCTGAATATTCCATACCTGAACCAGAAATACGGTGTGGAATCAAGCTGTAATAAAAAATGGACTTTTCTGTACGTTCAAATTTGAGGTCTTTTGTGTTGACATTCATCAGCGTAGCTTTAAGATGTAAATTCCATATTTAAAAAAAAATTTTCAACACTTGTCATCAGAGCATATTTACAACCTCAAGGAAACTCATGTTTTCCCTTAAGTTTAGACCCGCGTCACACTTTGTCATAGTTATCACGAGTAAGCTATTCATAGTAACTACATTGCACACTTAATCGACGTATTCACATCAATACTTAAGGTATAACAGCAACACAATCAAACAGTCTCAGAAAATCGTTTAGGTCGTTGCAGAAAATTATTTGAAAGGTGTATTGACGTATTTATTACGATTTAAGTTTTGTAGAGTATTCCGATGTGTTAATTTCAGTATTCCTTGTCATTGGGGAGGCTAGAACAAGCGGAATAAAGGAATAGGAACTGATCACAGTGGATGAATGTGTGTTCACTCACTTCTCATTGTTCTAGTCACTTCCTCTTTGACTTTCTCTTCTCGAATAAGCATATCTAATTCAGATGATGTGCAGCTCTGATAAAATGACTTTAACCTGGTATATTTGTTTATTGTTTTTCAGCTTTTGGACATTTTTTTAAAGCGTCATGGGGTCGTTCTTTTCCCTCACATGCTCACTATTCACAGTCACTTTTTGTTGTATACTTCGTCTGCATATACTCTGTAGGGTTCGGCAACAGAACAAATATTAGAAATAAAATTCCAGGTTAATAAAATGATAGTGTAACAGTATATTATAGAAAATAGAGTTATGGAGTCATATAAATTAATGATTACTTGTTTATACAGTTAAAGTTCGCTGCTACAAATTAATTATATAGTCCACATAAGCGTTCACTGCTGGAGTCGTGTCTACTAGTAAAAGCTTTAAACCGTTTGTAGAATAATCGGTGTATAAGGATGAGAAGTTCCTGCAGAATCCAAAGAGTACAACATATTTAGTAATGAAGCAAGTAGACAGTAGGGACTGGTGAAAAGACGAAACGCTGAGCAGCACACTAATTTTTCTTTTACTCTCCGAAGTTATGTATACTTTGCCATGAATCGTTTTAAATAAAAGTTGTGTACATTGTTTCTGTTTTCAACATCTAACAAAAAAAGATATACAATCGTATCTTTCCAGGATCCACAGTTGTGATAAGGAAAAGTGACAGTGTATTTTTGTACACTCACTAGCTTAGCTAAGCATACATCATCCGTCTTTTGAATTTCCTTAAAGTGTTACCTCGAAAACCCTTATCAACATTAAGGAAAGCTTTTTTGTTTTTGAATTTTTATTGTGAAATATTATAGAGATGCAGTATTATTGGCTTAAACATTAGGCTTTTAGCCCCATTAAATTATGAATTAAAATCTCTGTTCACTTAGTTCATCATTGTGGATAGACGTATAGTTTCATAACCTACCCCACATATGAAATACGTCCCATAGCTTCTTACTATTACATGTAAACAGCTTTTAGCAAGTTATTGAGTTGTTTTAATTAACTTTTATTATTGTCAAATGTACGAGGAAATTAATTAGTGACTCACATTTATAGTTACTATAGTAACATATTGTTTTAAGGTTAATTGGTTTGTTGAGAGGAGGAATTGTATCGATGGAATGAAACAGAAATAAACAAACTGAAATAATAGAATTCAATAATACAGGTGTAACATACTATCATTCATGTATATATATATATATATATATATATATATATATATATATATAGAAAAGAGAGAGAAGAGTACATCTTTTCGATTACATCCTTGTCAAAATAAGTAATGATCCATGTTTAAAGAAAGGTCAGTGGCGCTATATGGTTAGAAAAAAAAACCTTAGTAAAAAGAAGTGGGATATAGAAATAATCCGTTTTCGTTGAATAGTTAAGTGTTCCAGTCAATGATGTACAACAACTCTAAGATAAACGAAGAACTGATTAAGTTTTCAGCGCAGAACTTTGCACAAAAGTGCGACAACTCAAGCTGTTAGACTCCATAAAAGAGCACAGAAAAGTAGGGAAAATATCCTTAGGTACTATAATGGGCAGAAACGTATGGAAGAGAGAATAATTACATGGAGAAACATGATGACATAATGGCTTTCAGTGATTACAGAGAATGAATGCGTCTGTACAATGGACTCAGTGCACAAAAGTCCTCAACCATTGATCCTTAGCGTCTCAAGGATCCCAAGCAGCTTGTCTTAGGTATATCCTGTGTGATTGGGAAAGAGTTGGAGATGGTCCCACCGAGAAAGAGAAAATTAGATGCAATGTGTGCTAAGAATTCCACATTGCATCAAAAGTACTGTTTGGACTTGTTACCAGGGAATAGCCTTATGGACTTAGAATATGCAGATGACATAGTCCTGTTAGGGGAGGATGCTGACAAAATGCAGAGTCTTCTGAACACCTTGAGCAGCAATCTTCGTATGTTTGGCATGCGATTCGCCCCTGTAAAATGTAGGATGCTGCTAGAGGACTGGACTACGTCAACTCCTAGCTTAGTGATAGGGGGTGAAGTGATAGAACATGTTGACCACTTCACCTATTTGGGAAGTTGTATCAGCACCAACGGACTGATTGGCGACGAAATCTCAGCACGGATTGGTAATATTGATTCAAAATTGTTCTCACTGGCTGACACAGATTCACTCACTTATTGTAGTCTTCAGCGTTATTCCGCATATATAATTATTCTTCCTGCAATACATTTCCATCTATCATAGATTTTTTCCTCTAGGTTTATGTGTGGCAGTTGAAATTGCTGTTTTTTTTTCTGGTTGAAATTTTAATTCAATTGCTGTTGTGAAACTAATCTATCGGGCGGGTGGAGGGGAGAAGATTATGAGAAATCTCGTCACCTACGTTATTTTCATGTTTGAAAACCCCCCAAAAAACCTGGTCAAATTGTTTGATAATGTATAAGTCTTTATTCTGTTTAGAATGTGTGTGCGTAATTTAGAGCACTGACTTCTTTGAAACATCTGTCGTTAATTTAATTAGCAGCTCTTTTTGGGGGTTTTTTCTGGCATTTGAATCCTTCCTTTTATATGTTCAAACCAAGTTCACTTTTAACAGTTTGAAAAAATCTGGGCATTGGGTGTACTGACATTCCTTATTATAAATTTTGTCCTATATTTCCCAATGAATGAAAAATAAAACGATATTAGCACTTTTACTGAGGTTTCGCTAATTAATGCTGCTAATAGCTTTACAAAGAAATCTCAGCTTATATATATGTGTATATGTATGTATATAACTTAATCATCGTTCATCAGCACCGGGTAATTTTTACGTTGTGAAGTCGGTCACGTGGTAAAGATACTAAAGCCATTTGTGTAGACTGTT